CGGCGGGGGGGAGCTGCGGGGCCTTCGGCGGCGCTCCCGTCACTGGGAGCCTGCTGGGGGCTGGACTGGGCCTGGGAGGTCTCTGCCGGCTCCGGGAGCGCTGCCGGTGCCAGGCATATCGCTGTGGGCGTAACTGGTGCTCTGCAGTGGGCAGCACCCACCGGGCAAGAGCAGGGTGGGATTCGGTGTGCGCTTGGGTGCTAAGGAGCTCACGGCATGAGAGGTGTTAAGCAGAGCAGTGATGTTTCACTGGAGAGGGGTTTGCTACAGCTCGGAGCAGATCGTAAGGGCAAAGGGCGCAGCGGCACCTTTAGCCATGAATCTCTTGGTTCCACAGAGCTGGCTGCTCAGACCCAGGGCTCTGCAGGGATGGTCTGTAGTCCAGCCCAGGGCCATGATATAGCACATACGGTGAAGGGCTGTGCTTCCTGCAGGTGGTGTTTCAGTTCAGGATGCTTTGGCTGCGCATCTCACGCTAATCCTTATGGCCTCTATAGGGTATATACCAGGTTTAGAGTAAGGATTTTTCTCTGTCTGTGTGTTGTGGAGTAGACTGTCTTCAGTCGATCAGATTTTGAATGTCCCTGAAATACATACGCTATTTTTACTGTCTGGAAGCCATGCTGGCTGGTTTCTGAAGAAAGCTCTCTCCTATCGTGGAGGATTAGGAGGCAAGGATTAAACTGGTGGGGAAGGGCAGTTCTTCGTAGCTTCAAACTCCCAGGTTTGAGTGTTCTTCATTTCTCCTATATCTGTTTTCTGAGCAGTATATCATGCCAAATTGCCTCATCTGTGACGGGCTGTTACGACTGAAAATCTTTTAATGACATTTGGAGCAAGTTTTACTCTGCCTTGCCTTTCTGGGGAAAAATGTCAGTGGCAGGCCTATATCGGGGTAGGGTCATATTCTGAAAATGGTGATGTAGTTAAAAGAGCTCCTCCAAGCAGCTATTAAAGTTCCTCTAACTGGTTAATTTCTGAAGTGATCTGGTACAACTTGCTGGGGGAATAGACAGTGATTTGGGGGCTGGGAAGGGTGAGGATTCCAACTCTTCTTCTAGCTACAGATTTTCTTTTCAAGAGCAAGTGATCCTGTTCCCACGTGCAGCTGAGTTTTGCAGCCTCTGCAGGGAATGAAATGGGGAAGTCCAGTGTCTAGGAAACTCTGCTCATTCTGCAGCATTTAAAACTGGCAGTTTGCTGTCTCCTGGGGAATTGGGAGGAGAGAACTATTTCTGTAAAAGGCATGGCAATTGCTCCAGAGAATTATTCGGTTGATAGAAATATAAGGAGAAGACAGAACTGAAAGTGTCCTCTGAGGAATGCTATTTTCAAAGTAATATTGGTGGCCTGAGGTGTTTTGTGCTGCTTATTTATGTTAGAGTTAGAAGGCTTAGGGAGCAGAACTGGAAATATGCTGACTTCCTGGTGAAGTCATACTAAAGAGTTAGTTAAATTAGATGCTTCTGAAGAAGCGCTTGGATGCTGTGCGTAGACTACCGACAAATTGCATGGCCTATAAAGTTGGGAAAGCCCTGTTTGTGTGTAAATCATTTCTTCCTCCAGGCTATTTAAGTGGGGTGTTTGAAGTGTTAAAAAGTATCCAAGTGTAAAAATCATGCTAAAGGCACCGTCATCTTATTATAGTGCCCTCTAACATTAGCATTCTGTCCTCCTTCCCAAGTTTCATTGCAGAAGTGATGAGCACTGGAAGTCAGTCACAAATAGGACGGTCTTCAGAGGAAAGGTTGAACAGGTGCAGACACAGAAGAATTCTTGGGCAGGATTTGGTCCTTGCCCTGCTCTGAGGGGAAGCCTCAACTATGAAGACCAGAGACAGCCTAGATGATCTTGGTTTTCTTGATGTGATAAGGCCAGTACCACAGTTCATGGTTGTTAACTTTCAGTCCCTCCATTCTTTTGTAGATGCTTTCACAGTATTTATTTTCTGTTGTTGAGATACTCACTTTTTTATCTCATTAGAAGAGAAGTGTTTGTGTCATCTGATGGAGACTTATTCCAGGTAGGAAGTGATTATTTTACTTGCAGTTATTCTCTTTTTGGTTGCTTAGAAAGCATAGACCTTAAACACCAGTGCCTGTCAGCCAGAGCAGATTTTCTTGAGGTCAGGAACATCTTGTGCTTTTCTCTGTTTTGGCCCATCTTGGCTAAAGTAAATTGCTTAACTTCTGTGGCTCCGTTGGCTTAATGTAAATTAGGGTAATACTCACTGTCCTAGGGAGAGTAGTTGGAGGCTTAATTAGCAGTCTAACGTTTGTGAAACATCTTGAATCATGTAAGGGCAATGCAGGCATCGTGCGTTAATGGGCACGCACAGGAATACACTTCAGAATTTGATGATATAGTGCAATGTTTGTGGTGCAATTGTGCTAGAACCTATAAAAACCAGCAAGAATAAATGAAAACTTTCTGAATCATTGCTATAAGTCCCTCTCAGGGGTTTCTATGTTCTGTACTTCTGTTTGGGAATTGCAATATGACAAGGTACTGATGTTCTGCTTATGGACTAGCTTCTGTCTAAATATATGATTCTGTTCTCTGTGGCTTAATAAGAAGGTGGAAATTAGCAAGCATGCATACTATATTTCGGAATGATTTTTAATTGCGATGCACTGAAACAGCTGTAAATATGCTGAATGGCTTGTTCACAGGTTGTTTAAGGGGTAGAAATGGAGCATGGCCACAGGATAGTCATTGCTTGCTGCTGCATAAATTGTGGGGGCCCTTCTGGGGAAAGGGTGATATAACCGCTTTAATTTTATCTGTTGGAGAGTGATGACATTAGTGCTGGTTCCTATGCTGAGGAGCAGCTGATTGGCTGAGGTTGAGTTCTGGTGCAGTCAGGGACCAGCCCACCCCCAAAAGTGTTTTTTTGTTTGTTTGTTTTTTAGGTGTCCAGCCTATGGGAACAGTTTTTCCTTGGCCCAGCTGGTCTGAGAGCTTGGGGTCGCTGGCGTTTTGCCAGGGATAATTTCCCTGTCATCTTCCTGGCAGCCCTAGAATCTATTTGTGCGTGTTTAAGACTGAATCTTTCTCCTCATTCTGCAGTGTTGAGCAGAGAGATGTGCAAGCCTCTTAAAAAGAAGCATCTCAAATCATTTGGAAAGCGTCAATATGAAATGATGATCTGTACAAACTGTTACTTTTACAGTGCTTTTGCTATAGAGTTCAGAGGTGTTGTGGGCTAGGTAGGAAATCATAATTACTGCAGTGAAACAGTTTCAGACCTTGCCTAACTCCAGGGTCACTGATGAGTTCAACAGATGTTGCCTGAAGGTTGTCAAGTGTAGATTATTAGCAAGAATCTTTCTACTGCTTGTTTGCATAAAATGAGCTACATCTCAGTCAAGCGCCACATGAATAAATGTCGTTACTTGCCTGCTATTATAGAGAGTGCTGACAGAATTATGGAGGTTGAATTGGCTGTAAGAGCAATGTTTGTGGAAGCTTTGTTGATGGGATAGTCTGAAGAAGGTTCCACTATTCCTGTTCTGCTTGTAAAGGGGTACTTGAATTTCGCAGGCTGTAAATCCAGCCTACTTTACTAATGTGAAATTACTTGATGATATAATAATAGATGTTAACTCTCCCATACTTTTGCAGAGTATTTGAATACTCTGAATTAGGCAGTCGCTGCATATGGTATAAATAACGTTCAGCACTTATAACTTAAGTCTTTTGTCTTTAACACAAGACATGCTTTTTTTTGAGTGAACCATGTTGTAGATGCGGTTGTCTCACCGTGTGCTGGTTGGCTTCCTTGGTTTAGGTCTTCGTGATAAAAGCAGTTTCTAGCTGTTTCTAGACCCTTCTGTGGATTTTTATGAATGCTGTGATTTTACCCGGCCTGAAATGATTAAGCCATTACTATGAAGTAGGTTAATCCTGCTCTCTGTTAGCAAGGTGTATTACATAACTGTAATTAAACTTCAGAACTCAGCTGGCTGTTTTCACTTAGAGCTGCAGGGAGTAGGATTGGTTGATTTCTTTGATCTCCTCTGCTTTCTTGTGGCATATTTTAGTTCTTGTGGCTTTTGGTCTTTCATATTTGAGTTTGTGCTCGGGTACTGGGAGTGTTGGGGGTGTGTATATAGAGGATAGCATGGATCTTTTGTGCACCTCCTCGATTAAATGTCAGTTATGTTATTGTTGTCTGCTCTAGCAAGATGCTGGCCATCCCAAGGCAGACCTTACAGTCTTGTATTTCAGCTGATGAGTCTTTAGAATAGCCATACTGATATTTGCACGTATAGACCCTGGATTTCCTCGTCTTGGGGCATGCTGTGAGTAAACATCTTCATTTTCATTGGTATTTTGCAGCTGGTAGTAAAACCACTCCTTGTTCAGTGGGGGGTGCTGATGCACAGAGAAATGTGTTGCACAGTGTACTGTTCTGCTCTATATTCATTTTGATCGGTACTGCGGTAGGGCCGGTGTAATGCTGTCTAGCTGTAGGAGAGAATCACAGTATATGTTATGTATGGGTTTGTGTTTCATTTTCAGGGACCTGTTTTTGCAGCTGCACCCTTCCTCCGTGCCCTAGAGACAGAAAGCATAAACACTACTAATGAGATACATGTTCCACTCGCTCTAAATCCTCAGTTATAGAGTGTAAATCCTAACCTGGAGGAAGGATCTCTGAAGTATACAGGGAAGATCAATCTCTGTGGCCCATTCAGTATTTGGCTTCTCTTCTGAGCCCTGAAAAAAAGGGAGGGGAGAGTATAGTATGTCCAGTGGCAAATATGATGGCTAATTTTAAGCTCTAGACATCTGCCTGCTGTAAACTGTACTGAGATCACCAAACTTATTTTACCCAAGCAGCTGAGTTACATCTGACAGCTGAGATTTGGGTGGAATTTCAGCAAGAAAACTGCAGGGGAGAGGGGGGAAAAAAGCACCACATCCCATTAAAGAAAAAAATCTCTGCGAGAATTGCTTAGAAGAGACAGTTGTCTCTCTTATCTGAGCAGCCCAAAAGAGATTGCTTGGTCATCTAATCCTTGAGGCCTGACAAAAATGTCGGTACCTATGTGCATAGAATATCAGTGTTGGAGTAGGGTCTGTGCCAGCACATTTAGACCAAGGAAAAGCTGTTTGTACGGATCCCCAAAGTTTCTGAAGAGTTAGGAAAATCAGGTTCATTGCAAGGTAGATCTTCATCTGTTTCATTGTGAGCTAGAGTAGGAGGGGTGGAAGCGGTGATTGGAGCTCGAACGGGGGCGGCATGTGGAAGGCTCTGATGAGGAGGCAGAAGTTCTTAGGCAAACGTGGGATTGTGTCACTGCTGCGCGGGATGACTGTTCTGTTCTGGGAATGAGCATGGGCTGAGCTTTTTAGCAGGGCACAGTGAATAGAGGGAGCCTTGTGGTGGTAACTTCTCGCACCAGGCAGACGGTGCGTGCTGTCACTGACGAGAGGCAGAAGGGTGGTGATGGCACGCTGCGTTCCGTGAGACTTTGGGTATGAGTGAGGAGCATCAGGAACATATGGCTTCGTCCTCTGTTGGTGGCAGGTCTTCTAGGTGACGAGCCAGAGAATTTAAATACGGGGTCCTGACAGACATTATAAAAGGGGGAGGGGAAAAAAAAAAGACTAGCTTGCAGGAAGAGAGTTATTGCAAACAGTTCCCTCCTTGTGAGCTGTCAATGCACAGAAGCAATGAAAGACAGGCTTCTTACTGAGATTCTTGATGCAACTGTCTTCTCTATCCTCTGGATTCACTGTGGAGAGGCCCTAAAAAGACACTAGCCCTTCCTAACAAAGGAATCCATTCAGCCTGGATTGTATTTTTAGCAAAGCGTGATTCTTTTTCAGTTTCAAAAGTAGCAAGTGGGGAATGCAGCCTACATCAGTGCAAGATGCAGAATGATCTCATTCAGGCTGCAGCATCTGCTTGGTTTGAAACAATTACCAGTGATATCAGGAGATCTGCATTTTTTGTTGTAGCCAGAGGCCATGGTAAACAAGAACTGCTTTCTCTGTGCTTTCTATGTCAGTGGAACACAACTGGGGATAGATGCTCCTGTTCCGTTTCTGGGATCTCAAACCACAAATCTTACATTTCCAGCAACTATCTTTGCCTTTGTGCTTTGAAGGCAATTTTATTTTTCTTGCGTGATCTTTTTTCATCATTCAGCTTTAAACCATGTGCACAATAGAAGTATCTATGTGTATTTCCTTTCCATTAGTGTCTTCTGGGGCATTATGACTTGTTGATATCTCAGTCTATATTAAAATAAATACTTAAAAGGAAATCAGACGAAAAAGGGTAGAAAACAGTAATTCTTGTGTTTGCATCTCTAGTATCTCATAGTATAGATTCTGGTGCTTTGTGAAAGCTGTTTTGCCTTATAAATCTGTTTCTTCCATTTTCCCAACTTTTCCCAGCAGTTTCTCGGCAGACAGGATGTTCTGGCACACAGCCCTCTAACTGCATCTATTAGACAGTGCTTCCCTATAAAATGACAGGTAAAATTGCTAAAAGCCTTGTGAATCAGGGGCTGGTATGCTAAGCAGGTTACAGTGGTGGCTCAGAGAGAAGAGTTCTGCCATTAATACTGTTCATCCTTTTCTTTAGACTATATAACAAAGAGCTTTTGAGTGAAGATACTTAAATACAATTGATGATTTTCTTTTCAATTTTCGGTTTATAATTATGGAAACGAGACTAAAGTTTTGGTGAACCTACTTAGTCCTTTGGTTTTGGAAATGCAGATTTGTTAATTATTTTTTTCACCGTTTTGAGTGTTTGAACTATAATATTCAAAAGAGACTGTGTTTGGATGCGCTTTTAGTCATACAAAGTATATGTTCCACCCCTTGTGATGCAAATCCCTCCCGACCAACTACTGAAACCAGTTATCTGAGTAACGAAATTAGACCATGTCACTTTTGGTACCTGGCCAAGTCTGCTTTTCTCTTACTATAAAATGAACAGAGTGCATAGCTGTTTGTAGATCTTATGCCCCTTGTGAGGGGCAGGGAAGGAGGAGATACGGCCTTTTCCCAGCTTGCCAGCGAGTTCATCGCTGCCTGGGCTCCGGGCCGGGCGCAGTCGAATGCCCCGCAGAACTTCGAAGCCGTGACAAGGCCCTTCTGAAGCTGTGGGCTACCAGCCTGTTGCATTCACAGAAAGTCACGTGCTAACTCTCTTCTTTGCCACCCAGTTACTACTCATCTCATTTCAAATAAATATGCCAATACGGCTGTGTCCGTCGTTTGACTTCAACAGAGTTACAACAGGGGTGCATCTGGTCCGTTGTCTGAATGTAATTGGTAGCAAAACTTAAAAATGAAAGTGAAAAGCACATACTTGAGCCCTGACCCAAAGGCCCTTGGAGTGCTAGCACCCTGTGTCTATTGTTTTGCCAGCTGGCAAAACTGTGATGTTTCTGTGAAAACAACCCTTTGCATGAGGCAGTTGTGTGGGAATGGCCAATGGCGAGCCTGAATAAGGTTTAAAAACATGTTAAAATGTTTCAACACAATTCCCTTTGTTCTTTCCCTCGTGGGTTTGCTCTGTTGGTGCCGCCTCTCCACTGTTGCCTCCTGCACTGCCTTTGCTGCGAAGGCTCTAGGGCGATGGCAGCCTTCCCCTCTTGGCGACGGGCTGGTGCTAGAGACTGCAGTTGGAGTTCACAGCCTGCCTTGGTTTGGCAGCTTCTTAGTGCAGTTCCAAGTTGATGAATGTATTTCTCGTATATGATTTTACAAACTGTAATTCAGTCTGTTTTGGTGTTAAAAGGTATTTTTCAGCTTTGACTGGCTAGAAGACTTACTGGGTGTAGGGACTAGTAAAATTAGCTTTCTAGGTACTACCGAGACGTAAATGCTGATGACTCTTACAAAATCTGCTCTTCACCCTTAGGTCTCTGATTTGGCAGCTTACTAAAATGCAGGACTAATCCATCTTCCTGTCAATTTTATTTTAGATACTGATGGAGGCCTCTTACACCAGTGCAGAATAAATCGGATGTCATCAGTGCATATCTTACAATGAGAGCCCCTACTTTTCTGCTTTTTAAATGCATTGTAGATACAGCCTTTGGTAGAAACAGTCAGCTTGCCTCGTCGCTGTCATTTATTATGGCTGTCATTTTTGTCTTTGCTTCCTCTGAGTAAAACCTAATCCTGAAACTTCCCCAAAGCTGTGCTAATTTTTGAATTAAGATTTTTGTGAAGGTATCCAGAAATATAGAATAACATCAACTGCATTATACCTTCTGCAATTATTAGCTTAAGCTTTTAAAGGTAGAGATTATCTCTGCAATAATAATACTTGATACGCTGAAGACTGGCTCTGACTCGGGTCTTTGACTGTTACGGTAATGCTGCCAGATACTGAAATAAAGCTTCTCGGCTCTAACAGCAGTTGATCAGCTTGGGGTTGCTCTGCAGTTGGAGGGAAGTAGTTGTATCTAAAAAGTCCTGTGGCTGTTGACTCTGTCCCTGCGCTGTCTCTTCGCTCTCTGTCCCTCCGCGCTCTCTGATCAGAGAGACAATGTTTACCATGGGTTTTTCTGTAAACAGCTTTCCTTCAGCAAGTGGTGCAAGGAGACCTCCTCTACTTCTGTATCTTGCTGGATCCTTCTTTTCAAGAAAATGCTGAAACCCAGCATTTCAGCACAGCCTGAAATGACCCGTGTTTGAGCCTGTGAGTGTAACTCTTCTCTGGCGGACGAGATGTCACCCAGCTATTTTAGTTTCCTTGGCCTCTGCTTCATTGCTTCAGCAAAGGCTATATTCAGATCAGTTGGCTGTCACTGAAGAGCAATAAAATGACCTGTGAGAAGTTCAACTGTACTTCTAGTGATACAGTCATTTCCCATGTGCAGTTGATCTCTGTGGCTGGGCTGCTCTAGTACAAGATTGCTTTTTACAAAGCAGGGAGAAGCTGGGAATCGTAGATCTGCTGGCCGAGACCCTGCTGGGATCGTTCCGTATGGAGTTTTTGTGCCAGTCTTTCTTGTTCTGATGTTTAGAATTCGTCTTCGTCTGGGGCCAGAGTTCTAGTTGTGCAAGTACTTTCAGAGAGTAGACAAACAGTGGCTGTTACTCTGGCTACAGCAGTGAAGACCCCAAAGCACAATGCAAGTATTGACTGAAGTACCTTGGAGCAGGGGGATGCCTCTTCTGAGTTGGCCTTGTTGTTTTCATGTATTAAATAGTTTAGGAGGGGAAACAAATGTTCTGAATTAAACTTCACAACACCATGATGTGAGATCACATTACAGCAACTCCCAGAATACAGTACATGTTCTTCTTGTTGCTATCAAGGTATATGTGGGGATTTTGTTCCCATTCTTTGGAGCAACTTACAGGATAGTAGAACAGTGTAGGTACTGGCCTTGGTATGATGAAGCTGCTGTGCTGTGGTCAAAGGGATGAAGGTAAATGCTGCTTTTTTTTAATAACAGGGCCTGATTTTGCCTGGTGAATGTTGAATTTGTTGTGGACGAAGCTTTCCTTAAAGTACAGAGTGCAAAGGTTTAATCATGACTGTGGAATAGGGCCAATAAAAGTTCCCTCTTGGGCTGCTTATCTAACGTAGTGAAGGTGGATGGAAAAAGACTGAGAAGGGTTTCATTTTTTTTTTTGAGGGGAAAGTTTGCTTCCAAGAGTTTTAAGGGATGCTGCTTTAAACCATATGTTGTATGTTTTTAAATCTCCTAAGCTGCCTCTGCAAATGCTTGCTCTTGAGTGTGAGGACTATTTCTGGACCTGTTGCCAAGGCAATGCCAAGCTCCTACTTGAGACTTGCACCCTTATTTCTCCTCAACTTAGCTGTCTTTTGAATGTAGAAATTGTTCCTGGCCCTGTTTCTTATGTAGGTGAGACTACTTCTGAAAGATAGACAGCACTTTTTTTTTTCTTTATTTCAATGACACTTTGCAGGCCTAGGCTGATTTGATTGGCCAGGTATAACTTTGAGTTTTGCTCAGCTGTGGAAGCAAGTAATCTGATCCTGTTGAAGGAAGGATGCACAAAGGTGGGTTTAGTCTACTATGGTATTCCTGTAGCATTCAGCTAAGTCATATCCTGCAAGTAACTCCCTGTTCATGACCCTAGTAAAGTGCTAGAGTATCTGAAAGCCAGCAGGTCATGAGGTGCCCTTTTCTCATGAATAAGGGATTCGAGGGAAATCTTGCATCAATCAGGTATGTCTGTTTTGAAGCAGTGAAGAACTACTAAGGTAGCTTGGGGATCAGATGCTTGATTGTGGTCAGGGTGTGTTCTGATGATCTGCTCCTCTTAATATGTAGTGTTTTACTCCCTTTCAGAGAAGCAGAATCTTTCAAGGAACAAGGAAATGCGTACTATGCCAAGAAAGATTATAATGAAGCATACAACTATTACACAAAAGCCATAGGTGAGAACAGCTGGTGATACAGTTAATCTTGATGAATGCCATGTCTAAAAATCAGAGCTGGTTATCAATTTAAAATACACCAGCAGGGTTTCTAACAGCATGTGCTGGGTGAAAACTTTTTTGCCTGTTTAATTACCTTGTAAAATTTCACCAGATTGATAATGAAAGCTAGTGCTGATGTGCTGATGTGCAGCAGTTTTTCTGTGTCTGCTCTAACCAGAATATTCTTAACATGAAACCAATCCAGCATTTCCCTCTAATGCAGGGTCAACAATGCTGCCAGGCTGAACATCACAAAATACTGTTCTGTATGAATTCCTGTGTACAGTGTGAGAAGCAATAGGTTTATGATTTGCTCCTCTAAGCTATTCTAAAGAGCTGCTTGACCATCATGCATCAGCTTAAGCCATTCAGGTGATATGTTATAAATCAGAGGAAATATAATCTTGATTCCAGCAATTGCTTTTTTACTGTGTTCTACACGTTGTAGAGCTGCCTGCGTTGCACTAACAGTGCTCTTACGTTTTTCCCTAGATACCTGTCCTAACAATGCCAGTTATTATGGTAACAGAGCTGCCACCCTAATGATGTTGGGGAGGTTTCGAGAAGCACTAGGGGATGCTCAGCAGTCTGTCAGACTGGATGATAGCTTTGTAAGGGTATGTGGAAAACTTCATATTTCTTATGTCTGAGAACCTGTCTCCGTCTACTGCAGTTTATGCAACTGCCTTTTAACTCCT